GTGACTGACTGATTTTTTCAACTTCTCATAGTACCTGACGACGACTTGCTACCGTGACGTGTCCCTTGCTCAACTCTCCCACGGGCGTATGGCACATCGGTAACTGTCTTCGCCCCCATAGAGTCGTGGCGTGATGTATAAATTCTTTTTTCTCTTCTGCTTACATGTCAAGTCCATCGACTCAACGTGCCGGCCCCTCGGAGTATGCAGGCTCGCTTCTGTGTGCACCCCCCTCTTATACTTACAGTTCTATCCCATCCTCCGTGCCGTGTTCCTGCTCAAAGTTCAACGTTCATCAGTTCTCTCTCACGGGTGTAGCACCGCCTCCATCTTTCCTCGCTAATTGTAGGCATATTGAGCACAACTCGACGTCCCAGGCCGAGTCACCTCGTAGGCCCACTAGCTATGTTCTCTGTACTCGTTCGAAGGCGATCTTTTTGCGACTGCTTGTCTTTTTCAAGTTGATCGGATCCACTCGTCTGCTCTGCCTCATACCTTGAACTTGTTGTGGGGATGACTTGCCTGGTTGTGAGGTGTTCTTCGTTCCCGTGGGCGTTTGACGCACCGGTGCCGTCTTCGCCTGAATGCCCAGTCTTCGTTCATTTTTTTCCCGTCGACTCACACGCAGCGCGTCAGTTCGCGGCATCACCTGCGCATTATACGCGGACTTGTGGGTGAACTGAAAAAGTAGTTCCCTGCTTTGCGCCCACGCTTAGTTTCTGATTCTCCTCAAGTGTGCATCCTTCGTGTGTACTCGGATTGCTTGATAAGAGCCGGGAAAGTTTCGTCCTTGCAAAATTTGTTCTAGAGGCTGGATGTAGACTCGTGGTTCAGCTGAACTAGTCACCGCGGATCTGCCTAGTTGTTCCCGATATTCTTTTGACGAGGTGTTCAAAGTCTGTTTTTCGCTACGGTAGATTTACTACAGTCGAAAATGTGATGCTACGTCAATGCGCTGATACAAGTTGCTCTTTAAATTCTACACGGGTTATAGCTATAAGAATAACGTACGTGTCCCTCTTGTTGTATGCGTCATGGAATATTCACATGCAGGGGAAGAGCTAGTAAAATCACATGTGAAGCAGATCCGCGGACGCGTCTGCCATGTGAATGTGAACAGACGCGTAGGGCTACCTCCTCCTTTCCACCTCTTCACGGAGAGCATCGCGGCCCTCCTCGAGCCATCTGATGTACTCTACGGCGCGGAAGAGGACGCCGCTCTTGCCCTTTGTGTTCTTCCCCCGCCCCTTTGGACGCCCTCGACTAGGCATGGCGGAGGAGGGGTCACCGAGTAGAGCTATGAGCTGAGCGTAGCCGTCGCGGATAGCGTTGCGCCGTTTCTGTTCTGAGAGGATGTGGTTGAGGCGTTTCTGTGGAGTGGAGAGGAGTGGCTTGGATGCGGTACGGGGAGTGGCCGTCGGTGTGGGCGGCTGCTGCTGCTGCTGCGGAGGGGGCGGGGGCGCTTGTGCGTGATGGGGTAGAGGTGCAGTCATCGGTGGTGGTGGTGGAGGAGGAGGAGGTTGTGAGTGGAATGATTGATGATGAGCATATACGTCTGCTGGAGCACTCTTTGGTGTCGGAGGCGTAGGTAGCTGGTGGCGTGGAGTTGGTATGTTCCAATCAAACGGTGCGGATGATGGACCAGGATAGTCCAAAAGTTGATGGAATTATGTTGCACATATTCCAGCGGTTCACCCCCGCCAAACTGGTCGAGAAAGCCAAACAAGTCTGTGGTCTCCTCTGGTGCGAATAGCTCGGCACTCGGTGGGAGTGGAGGCGGTGGAGGATAATCATAGTGGAGCTGCTGCTGGTGATGATGATGATTGTATGGGTTGTGGTCCATCGTCGTGGTGGTCAGTAGCAGGGACTGGTGGCCGGCCCCAGGTGTCCACTTATATAACCCTTAAACCCCTGGGGCCGGATATCGCCGGCGCACCTTCCCCACCGACCACCACCGCCGTCCGAAATCGAACCCAGAGCCCGGAATGTCGGCCATCCCTCCAGACAACAACAACCTAGATCCACAGCCACAGTCCGTTGACGCTCAGCGTAAACGTATGTTTAAATTAATAAAGATAAAATCCTTTTTATCCTGATAACCGTCTAGCCAAAGCACCGTCCGTTCGCCGCGCTTGCGTCGCCTGCCACACCGGCAAGACCCGCTGCTCAGAGGTCCTCCCATGCCAGTCCTGCCTCAAGCGCGGCCTCGGCCCATCCTGCGCCTACCCTGATCCCGACCATCCATCCCACCCTCCCTCAACGCCCTCCTCCGCCCCTCCAACTTCCACCACAGTCGATCCCTCCCAAACAACCTTCCTCTCCTCCGCACCCGCCCCTGCCCCTCCGCCATCTTACAGCACCCCCGCTCCCCCCGCCAACACCCACACCACCCAGTACTACGACTACAACGGCGCCTTTACTGGCGCTTCTTCTAGTACCTTTCGCCCAGCCAAGCGCCCGAGGAATCTCACAGAGGAAGAGACGAATGCTATTACGAGGGGATTCCAGAGGGGCGATTTCTATGTTGGGAGTAGTGCCCCTGTGAGGATCGACCCAAGGCTGCCTGTTAGGCTTACCCTTGGCGAGGGCGATCACGTCCATTTCACTGTCGGGGAGGCATTGGTCTAGTTTTTTTTATTCCGCTTTCTGTACACTAGCCCGTCCGTCGAAAATACTGTACTTGTTCCGATCCTCCGTCCCCGTACGCCGTCCGCCCGAACCACTGAAACATCCTTTGCGATTTGCAAATCCTTCAACGCTAATCTGCTAAACTTCGAACGGCGCCCATCTCCACGCGCATCCATATCAATCTGCACGCTGCTTTCTTTCCCCTAACCACGCTGCTCTCGTCTCATCGTGACCTAGAACTCTACACCTCATCTGATGACACTGAAACGCATCCACAGTGCGCACAACCGCTAGCGCTGATCCATCACGCACCTGCATGTCCACACTCCTCGCGTCACCTTTCCAGCTGCCATTAGTGCAAATGCGCTCTAACCGCACTGACGGTTCGCCAATTATAACTAAAACTCGCTCTCATGACCAACTGCGAACACGCTGCTCTTGACCACCGATGAAACCTCCATCATGCCGCGTCTCAAGTGTTCATCTGTCAAAATGCCTAATACCACTTCCTTGGCGAAGCTACCCACGCGCTCGCGAAGCTCAATCCCAACGTCAAATTCAAGCAACCGTCGGAGGCGTACAGCGACCATCAACGTTATCTGTCGTGAAACACAGCGTCAAGACTCGATGCCTCGAGCTTATTTATTTTACCCCCATCTACAACCACAATATAGGTGAGAATTTGACCAACGGGCTTAGCACTTACGCTAGTGGCAGAGATACTTACCCGCAAGTTCAAACAATACAGCGACCATCAACTTGTCGTGAAACGCGCTAATCCTACCTCTCAAGCTTATCCAGATTGACGTATGATCTTCGCTCGCTGCGACCCACCCAATTAAACCGTGTGGCGGCAGATCGTACGGTACGCGTACCGACCGACGAGGCATCAAAGCCAAATTCACTGGGAGAGTCTATTTTCCAAAGTCAAATTCAACGAAAACTGCTAGGTCGTCGAAATTTGGTTCCGCGGTACGCGTACCGTGTCAAATACATCTATCCCATGTGCAAATGCACACGTTTGTACGACGACTCTATTCCGAGTTTGCGTTTGATCTCCTGGACCACATTGCTCGACGATGGCTCCGGCGCCGTACTCTCAAATCGCCACCTGCCGTCGAGGAACAAGTAACGCGCGACAAAGGCACCAAGCATGAGGATACCAAGGTCCCCTCGCGCGATTAAAGTCAAACCATTCCAGATATAGCTCTCTCCATATCATCATCGGCGCAATCTCTTCATCATTAGCACTTTTTAAGCTCAAGCGTTGGCGTGTTCCGTCGGCGAGGTTAATCTTCGCAGGATCAGAGGGAGCGATACCTCCGGGCATGGCATGCGCAAGCCGGGGATGGATGATTGAGGCGGTGGGCCTAGTCGGGGGAGCTACTAGATGGGGGAGAAGAGTTGGCATAGCACGGCGCGCCAGGATGACTTACTTACTAGGGATCATGTACCATCAGACCAAGGTTCATCCAAGCAATCCATGAGAGACGTAAAGTTGTAACGCGGCCTCCGCACCCAGAACAACGCCGCATGCGCCAGAGTGCTCCAAATACCAAATTCCGAATCCAAGTCTAAATGATGAGTTGTGGCGTTAAAAAAAACGACCAGGACGTACTTAAAACTACTACTTGGTGGATGTCATGTCGGTAACTGGAATCGAACCAGTGGCTCCTCGGAGTAACGTTACGGCTACAGGATACAATACACCACAACGAGGTGATTTAACCCCTAATCGATACCGACGCTTCAAGGGTCGCGGTTCGTTTATCCTTGCCGGTGAGGAAGAAAGGAGCAGACAGGAAACCCAAAAAATGATTATACTCCCAGCCTAGATAGACACATAGCAGCTAATCTATGGTGCTACAGGTCACAGAGGAATTTTCGGCGTGACGAAGAGTGGTGTTTGTGTGAAAGAGGCCCAATGTGGCGCACTCGTACGCGTACAGAGGCTCAGGATTCGTTGAAAGAGCTAAGTGCTATCAATTTCGTACTAGCGGCGACAGAAGGAGAGTGCCAACGCAAAGGACACCGCCAAAGGTCCGGAGGTCGGGATAAAAAATCTAATGAGGGAGCCCCCGGTTTGAAGGAGACCCAAACCACTTGATCTACGGGTCCACGTACGGTACCAGCATAGTAGTAACACGTCGGGATGACACGCTTTTCTGTTTAAACCAAAAAAATCTAGTTGTAGATACCGAAAGTAGGCAAGCACCTAGCGGCTAGTCCACGGCGCTACGTCTAGGAAGGGACTTTCTGGGCTTTGGGATGATGAACCCGGCGGGATGAACGACTGAACAGCCAGTAGTTCATTCCACGCCAGGCTGTAATATAAAAAAATGAGACTCTGAAGTCCGAACTACTACACACGGAAAGTCGGAAACCTTAAAAAATATTTTCAATGATGTTGTAATTGTAATTTGTAGACAGCAGATAGACCACGGTGCTACGTGAACAAAAGGTATCTTTGACGTGAAGAATCATGTGCTACATGAAAGCGAGGGACACCAGGGAGCGTCGTAGCGTTGAAAAAGTTTCAATTTTCAATGCACAGCATCGTAAAGACACACCTATACACACCTGTTTACCTGCATCAAAACATAGCTGCAATCAGAGCGTATTGAGGTAAGCCCATAGCGGCTAGTCCACGGTGCTACGCCCCAGATGAGAGTCTAAGCATTGCATTGGACTCGGCGGCAGTACCGGAGAGGTAAAAGACAGTGACGTATGCGAAAGCCTCTAGGAAACCAGTGAAACCGTTAATCCACAAGTCCACGAACAGACGGGTCCTTGTATTAATGAGTCGTACACCGTTGGCCCTTGGGTAACTTGGGTTGACGCCGTGAAGAAGAGAGATGACGGATGTGACGAGAAAAAAGTGTGGCTGGCATGCTATGTTGAATGTGAGCCGGGAGTCACTCAGACACCACCAACATGTCAACCCGACGCAAATTGCCAAATTCGCCAACCGAAGAAAAACAAGATCCTGACACTTCAGTAGGTAGCAACATAGCAACTCGGCCAGCGTACTACGTGTAGGAGGACAATTTGAGCCTGCACATACGCGCGAGGAAGCGATGTGAATTGAACATCACCGAAGGAGCGCAGCGTTCAAAAATCAATGCAGCATTATGAAATCCTCAAGAAGACTTGAAGCAGTTGAGCCACAGATCCACGTAGAGAAAGCCCAGCAGAAGATGTCGTACGTTGTGATGACGCGGTTTTCTTTTTGGTTTGAACCAAAAAAGAGAACTTACTCCCCCACGAACATATGGCAGCGCGTAGTGATTAGACCACAGCGCCACGTCTGGGAGGGGAATCTGGGCTCTGCGTTGAGTGGAAACTCGGCGGTATGAGAGCATTCCGAATCACAAAAAGGTGGATCGAACATAGCTATGCAAGGAGACTGAAGCAGTTAAACCATCAGTACGCGTAATGGCTAGCTAAACGAACTCGACGACGCACCCTTTCGTCTCTGAGGGGTTATCCACCCAAGTAGTCCTTGTATCCGCAAGAGAGAGAGAGAGACCTACAATGTTGCGCTAACGCTAGGAATCGGAGAGATGATGACCGCACACTGAGGTCGAGTTTACACCCGTTGCAGACAAAATTCACTCCATGGAGCTCGGCAACCAAAAAGCTATGCACCATCAGGTTGTAGGTAGACATGTAGCGGCTAGCCCACGGTACTACGCGAAGAGGAGGAATCTAGGCTATAGATGATCGGCATTGTTAGTTTCGACACATTTGCGAACGAAGACATACCCCAACCGCTCGATCCGTGAGTACTGAGTCCACGTATAGCTCGTAGAGCATGTCACATTTGTGGCTTGGACTCCAACATAACGAGATCATGCTTTGCCATCATGAAGACGCGCTCCGTCCGGGAGGGGAAAGAGCTTTGCATCAGGCGCGGAGCCTCGCAGGTATGAGAACATCCTGGTGTAAAAAAAATCTGCCTATTTTTCTTCCTGAAGAAGACTAAAGCAGTTAAACCATTAGTCCACACATGGAAGGCTGGCACAATGAACGTTCATGATACGTTGCTCTAATGCACTTTGTTGCGTCCAAGGCCGTGTCTACGCCAGCTACCCTCGCATTGGTGAGGGAGAATCATGAAACGTTCCGCCGACGCCCGGAATTCGGAGAGATGATGACCGTAGAGAAGAGAGTTGTGTCATGTGATCGACTTGAACTTGGACTACCATCATATCAGCTGTGTCCGTATAGCGCCATACGACGACCTCCTCTGAGAGAACGGATTTGGCGCATGCGTGAGTCATAAACTTGGCTCAGTTCCTGGACCAATCGGCCAAATACGGGAACGACGAGGCATTGGTCTGGTGATTTCTTTACAGGCCAGGATGATATTTGTGGCTGCATAGATGGACAAGTACCGGGAGCGACGCTCTGTTCTTCATCTTCTAGGGTCGGCTGTCTCTGTCTCGTTACCGTTCGACAACACGTCAATCCTCTTTCCTTCTACGGGTACTCTTCTCCGCTATTGTCCACAAGCCTTTCTCCGTGCGCCTGGTTACGCCTGTGCATCTCTTCACCGTTCAATAACGCGTCCTCTGACCTCTCGTGCTCCATCATCAACGTTACGCTAGTGGCAGATACTTATGCGCGCCGCAAGTTCAAACATCCACAAGCAATGACCATCGACGTATCTGATTTGTCGTGAAACGTACCTCCCAAGTTTACAGCGCCAATCCAGATTGACGTATGATCTTCGCTCGCTGCGCCTGTCACTGTCAGGGCTCGCGCTGTATACCGACTACGTAATTAAACCGTGTGGCGCAGATCTTACGGTACGCATACATCAATAATCAAATCCAAAGCCAAATTCACTGGGAGAGTCTATTTTCCAAGGCCAATTTCTTGTTGAGTATCGAGGTCAAATTCAACGAAAACTGCAAGTCCTTAGTCGTCGAAATTTGGTGCCGCGGTACGCGTACCGTATCGAATGCGAGATCTATCCCATATGCAAATCCGACCGTGACGACAATGCGCACGTTCGGATACGACGGCTCTATCCCGAGTTCGCGTTTGATCTCCTGGACCTCTCAGTCGGACCACTCATCAGGATAATTATGCTTTACCATGCCGTACTCTCAAATCTTTAATCGCGACCTGCTATCGAGGAACAAGTAACGCGCGGCGAAGGCACCAAGCACGCGATTAAAAGTCAATCTATTCCAGATATAGCTTGCCGTCGAGGCTCTCCATATCATCATCGGCGCAATCTCTTCATCATTAGCACGTACTCCCCGTCAGTGCGTTGACGTGTTCCGTCGGCGAGGTTAATCTTCGCAGGATCAGAGGGAGTGATACCTCCGGGCATGGCATGCGCAAGGGGATGGATGATTGAGGCGGTGGGCCGAGTCGGGGGAAGCTAGACGCTCGAGGATGCGTATAATTAGTCGCCAGGTTGGCTTACTTGCACAAGGGATCATGTAACATCAGACCAAGCGTGAACAAGGCCGATGTACTGTTCATCCAACAGATCCTGATTCTTGAGCAATCCGTAAGGCTAGTACTTATCGTCGTGGCCTCCGTACGTCGCGTGTGGAGTGCTCCAAATACCAAATTCCGGATCAAAGTCTACATAGTACATAATGACCGCAACGGCGCTGTGGCGTTCAAAAAAGTCAATACAAATGCATGTCGGTAACTGGAATCGAACCAGTGGCTCCTCGGAGTACCGTTATACCTCAGGGAGTCAGCACACCACAACGAGGTGATTTAACCCCTAATCGATACCGACGTTCCAGGGTCGCGGTTCGTTTATCCTTGGCGGTGAGGAAGAAAGGAGCAGACAGGAAACCCAAAAAAATGACCTTCAAACACTGCCAGCCCTAGATAGACACATAGCAGCTAATCTATGGTGCTACTACGGGTCAAAGAGGATTTCCCTGCATGAAGAAGAGTCGTGTTCGTGAAAGAGCCCCAGTGTGGCGCACACGAGGCTCAGGAATCGTTGTCATGTCCATATGCCATCAATTTCATACTAGCGGCGACAGAAGGAGAGTGCCAACGCAAAGGACACCGCCAAAGGTCCGGAGGTCGAGATAGAAAATCTAATGCTGGAGCACCAGGTCTGAAGGAGACCCAAACCACTTGATCTACGGGTCCACATACAGGTAGCAGACTTCGAAGCATAGTAGTAACACGTCGCGATGACACGCTTTTCTGTTTAAACAAAAAAGGTTGCTTGTCAAGGGAGGTAAGCACCTAGCGGCTAGTCCACGGCGCTACGTCTAGGAAGGGACTTTCTGAGCTTTGGGATGAACCGGCGAGACGAACAACTGAACAGCCAGTGGTACATTCCACACCAGGCTGTAGTATGAAAAAATAAGACTACAACAAACGGAAACTCGAAAACTTGAAAAATGTTACCAGGACCGCATCCATTGTAGACAGCAGATAGTCCACGGTGCTACGTGAACAAAGGCAAGAATCATGTTGTGAAGTGTGCTACATGAAAGCGAGGACCGGGGAGTGTTAAAAAGTTAACACACATGAAGCAGAGCATAAAGCATCGTAAAGACACACCTGTTTGCCTGCATCGAAACATAGCTGAAGACGATACATTCCGAGGTAAGCCCATAGCGGCTAGTCCACGGTGCTACGCCAGAGATGAGAGTCTAAGCATTGCATTGGACTCGGCGGGAGTACCGGAGAGGTAAAAGACAGTGGCGTGTTCAGAAGAAGGAGACTCAGTGAAACCGTTAATCCACAAGTCCACGAACAGACGGAATGGGAGAGAGAGAGTCATACACCGTTGCGTCGACGCCGTGAAGAAGAGAGATGTCGGATATGACGAGAAACAAGTGTGGCTGGCATGCTATGTTGAACGTGAGCCGGAAGTCACTCAGACACCACCAACGCAACCTGCCAACCGAACAAAATCACGATCCAGACGCATTTCGAATTCGAGACACTAAAAAATGATCTGGACGCTCCAGGTAGCAAGATAGCAACTCGCCCAGCATGCTACGTGTAGGAGGAGAATCTGGGCCTCCGCATAAGCGTGAGGAAGCGATGTGAATTGAACATCACCGAAGGAGCGCAGCGGCATTCAAAAATCAGTGCAACAGATATGTATCATGAAGGAAGACTTGAAGCAGTTGAGCCACAGATCCACGTAGAGAAAGCCCAGCAGAAGATGTCGTACGTTGTGATGACATGCTTTTCTTTTTGGTTTGAACCAAAAAGGAGCACAGTGGCGAATGAACATATGGCAGCGCGTAGTGATTAGAACACGGCGCCACGTCTGGGAGGGAATCTGGGCTCTGCATTGAGCGCGCGCGCGCGCATGGAAACTCAGCAGTACGAGAGCATTCTGGTTCACAAAAAAGGTGGGTTCGAGTCCACAATCGAGAGCATCTAAAGGAGACTGAAACAGTTAAACCATCAGTCCACGTATGGAACGGCTAGCTAAACGAACTCGACGCACCCTTTCATCTCTGAGGGCTTATCCACCCTAGTAATCCTTCGTATCGGCGAGAGACCTACAATATTGCGCTAACGCTAGGAATGACCGTGCACTGGGGTCGAGTTTACACCCGTTGCAGACAAAATTCACTCCATGGAGCTCGGCAACCAAAACGATATGCAAACACGATATGCAAAGTCCAGGTAGACATGTAGCGGCTAGTCCACGGTGCTACGCAAAGAGGAGGAATCCGAGCTTTACATCACGGGTAAGTATGTGAAGAGCTAAAAAGTGCTGCACCATTGTTAGTTTCGACACGTTAGCGAACGAAGACATACCCCAACCGCTCGATCCATGAGTACTGGGCCACCTATAGCTCGTAGAGCATGTCACATTTGTGGCTTGGGCTCCAAGATAACGAGATCATCGCTTTGCCATTATGAAGACGCGCTCCGTCCGGGAGGGGAAAGAGCTTTGCAACAGGCGCGGGGCCTTGTAGGTATGAGAACATCCTGGTGTTAAAAAGAGCTATCGTTACGTCTGAAGAAGACTCAAGCAGGTAGGTACAAGCAGTTAAACTATCAGTCCACGTATGGAAGGCGACAATATTGAACATAAGACGTTGCTCTAACGCGCTTTTTTACATCCGAGGTCGTGTCTACGCCAGTCACCCTCGCGTGGGTGAGGCAGAATCATGAGACGTTC